AATCATTGGTGACGAAAGGGCCTCAGAGAGGTGGATATCGAGAAGGCTCCATGATGTCTAGTAATGCATATAGATCTAGTGAGTGTAACAGGTTTCGTAGTACATCCTCAACAGATAAGTTACAAGATGCAAGACAAGCACGGTTGTGTTTTACACGTTTGCAAGAGGTGCATACAAAGGTGAACTGTGAACCGGTGAGCGAGTTCAGTGATAAACTAAATGAAAACTCCATGCCTGACTCCGAATTGTGTGACGATAACGGTGCGGTTAAGAAGTCTGTAGTTACAACTGGTAAGCCATTGTTGAATAGAGTGTCACAGAATAGAGTTACTGCTTCAGAGTCCAGTTCTGACTCCACAAGTTTACGAAGTATAACTAGTCAGAGTGAAGTTATAAAACCTTTAAAGATTTGTGAGGAGGAACCAAAATTGTCTACTTCTGTTATTGAAGAGTTTGAAAATGATGAAGTTGACGGTAAAGTGAATATTCGTGATAATGATCATGATAGTGCAGATTTGTCTTTGGTTGATCATGATGAAATGGGGGGAATGCCTACTATTGCTGAGTTGAATAATGGTTCTGTACAACTACAACGTGAAGTAGAATTGAACGCAGATGCAGTTCCAGAAGGTGTGCATACTTGTCAAACCGTCAGTGTAATTGATCAGCATGTAGCCCACCTATCATCAGATGCTAGTGCTAAACCGTAGCTGATAGTAAAATACAGCAGTGGTGGTAATCTTGCGGTTAGACAACTATCTGTAAGCCGAGCAACTACAGCTTCTGATCCACCGCTGAGTTCATCAACTGGTATCAGTCAGTCGTCGTCGGTGTTGTCATCCACAATGAAAAAGACGCCCACCAACTCAAGTGTGTTGTGCAGTGACTATGATAGTATTGGTGCGTTTGAAAAGACGAAAGATATTGCTCAGTTTAGTGAGGATAAGCCAAGTGTAAACGAGAGAGTAATTGTTAAATTGACTTGCACGAATAAAAGCATTTCTAGTTTCAAGTTACTATTTGAATGTTATTATCTTTGGTGTAAATTACTCTATTTCCACGCTTGGTTGATGAGATATGTCGTGTGTTTGTTGGTCATCTATATTCTACGGTACAATGACATGAGCGTGTTACCGTTCAGATTTGAGGATATAGCTGATAGAGGGAAGTCAGCAAATGAACTCTGTAACGTTTTTCCAACCTAGAGCGCCAACCTGAGAAGGGTTGTAGGCGTACTGCTGTAAGTCCTACAATTCTTCAAAGGGTAGCGCATCAATGAGCAGTCCAATGTGCTTGGTGTGTGATTTTGTACATATGCTCATGTTGTATATAGTGAATTGGTATCATCTGTCATCTAGCCGTTGATAATTTTGTTTGTGTACGGACGACTTCCACTTGGATCATCAACCTGAGAAGGAATGTAGGCGTACTGCTGTAAGTCCTACAGTTCTTCAAGGGTAGTTTGTCGTGCCAGAATCCATAACATTTGATGTGTTGATTGTACATATGTTTGTGTTAAATAATTGTGTGAGTTCCAATTATCGTAATTGTTGGTTAATCTTGTTTGTGTCCGGACATTCCACAACTTACAATCGTCAACCTGTGAAGGGTTGTAGGCGTACTGGTGTAAGTCCTGCGATTCTTCTAAGGAATTCCATCAAGACATGATCTGCGAGTTTGTGTGTACTGTTTGTATATACGTGTGGTGTGTCATATCAATTGGTGTATTTGGATTCATTGTGTTTACTCGTTCTTTTCGTACCTTGTTGTTATTACGTAATTTTGTTGTCAGCTTCATCTCTTTGTTTTGTTTCAGGAAAGATGTTGAAAGAACACACTACTACTTTATGGTCACTACCTGGAAATTCATGTCCTACATGTACTGTAGATAGTGTTATGTTGTACGTGAAAATAAGGTCTAGGATATTTGAGGAGCTAGTGGGTGAATTCATGTGTTGTGTCCACCCTCCTGTGACTATGGAATTCAGATTCCCGTACCTTTGAGGTTCTCGGAGTGAAGGCTGTCAATGGAGTTGAAGATTGAACGATCAATTCTTGGTTGTTTGCTCAAAATCAACTTCCCCAATTTTCGCGGAGGCATCAATACGACAGTCATCGTCTCATCGGTCGCTGTTCAGAAAGAAGAGTAAAACATCGTCAGAAGTAATATAATGATTTATTATTGTAATATTTGTTCACAGACCTTAGTCATACTTGATTTATATGTTGGTGTAACAATATAGAATACTCAAGTCAACAATCGGTGTTTTGGTTTTTTCGTCCGTTATAACTAAGCGTTTCTGAAAACTTCAAGGAACAGCGTGGGCCCGAGCGTAGCAAGAGCTGGGCATTAACGGTTTATGAGACGTGATTGACAAAGGCCATGGAAATTCTGGCAAGTTGAAATCACCTCCGACAATTTTATGACTGAAGGAAAGACTGCTGTAGCATTAAATGTTTCCTAACATATTATCATACTCTCTGTTGGATGAAGCGGGTCGGTACACACAACCGATAAGTTTAGGTTTACTTTTGACAACATTTATTTTAACCCACATCGAGTCACTGAGTTGTGACAGAAGTGGGTTACTGAAATGATTTGTAGACATGGATGTGTAATGCACAATGACAACAGCCACAAAAAACAAAGAATAGGACGAAGAGAGAGATGTGTGTATTTAAACTAAGCAGAGCTTGAAGTAAGTGGGTACAGGGCTAATTATCATCGTTTACAGCGAACCCAGCTAAACGGTCTTATTCCTGCTCCAGAAGAGTTATGTCAGCGTTTCTTTCTGAAAGAGAAGAAGAACAAACTTATTTAATGACACTATGTTGGTTTCCATGTCATAACATTAACTCCTCCCTTCTTTGTGCACTGCCCTCAGTGCCTGGCGGTGGTATGGGGTATACATTGCCTCGATTAATCGTCACCTCGGCATAACTAGTAGCGAGTGGTGGTTGTGAGAAGTTTGGCGGTTCTTTGACAGCTGCTGGATGATGCGGTTTCAGCTGATTATAATGGGCGGAAGTGAGGTTGTCTTGAGGTGATCTCAGGTTCCACAAGACATACGTAGTGAGAGTTTGGTGTTGTACGATCTCATATAGCCCTTGTCACGGAGCATAGAATTTAGGACACGAACCGGCAGGGACTGATGGTCGATTGGGCCAGACGTAGTTACCAAGGGAATAAGTGCGTCCGTGGGCAAAGCGGTCGGAAATGACTCTATTATGGATGAGATTTTATTTGAAAAATCATATAGTGTTGTAGAGTAATATTGACTGTTATCAGTTAATATAAATTAACAACACTGTGATTTATCAAAATAAAATCTTATCCATAATAGAGTTATACTCTACCACAGTGCCCAAGTTTTATACTTCCATCAATAATACATACGGCTTCTAATTTTCCAGATCTTTGAATTCACTCCTCACTTAAATATCACTTACCTACCTCACAATAATCTTATTTACGCACTATATGCTTTACCTGATCATATCTAGGCCATTATTGAAGCTAAAATGTGCTACTCGTTCATATTTGTTGCTTGCCAAAGTCTGGTTGCTTTGATTAGAAACGCAACAACACCAATGTTTGAACAAAGCCATATCTTTGGCGGAAATATCATATTTTCCATGCCTTTAAATAGAAAACGAAGAACAGAGTTTCACACCGGTGATGCTGAAGGTCTGTTTGCTATTCGGCGACAGTTAAATATGATGCAGACCACAAGACTGAGATCCTAGTACCTGTGGATGAGGTTACACAAAAAAGTAGAAGAATTTGACAATTAAGACAGATGATATTACCATCATGAAGGTGGTTCTTGGAAAAAGACTAATCGGCTGATTATGACAGGTCGTGGTGACCAGCACTAAGAAAACGTAAAATGGTTCCTGAAACTTCCTAAACATACGAAGAACAGCTTGTCAATTATTTAATTAAAATTTGGTTATTTCAGGTGGACTAATTTTAGTCCAAGTTATTTCGGCTAGAGGAAAGTACATTTTAACAGCTTGAGAGACAGAGGGTTGGTTAATCCTATCCCTTTGAAACAACATGGGCTACGTATTTTCTGAATGGTCTTCGAGTTTCACTGGTCGTTTGTTCATGGAATAATAGTTAAGAATTATCGCAATTCACAGTGAAGCAACGAAATATTGTTCTGATTTTAATTGCTTCTCACAGACTCAGACATCGAGGAAAGACTGAGTATCCACAGAGAAGTCCATCTTGAGCATCATGTCTGCTGCCAGCTATTCAAATAGAAATAATCCCACAAAACCAGCAAAAAAAGAAGATTTTACTCTTTGGATTCTAAAAGCAGATAAATCCAGTGTTGCCGCTTCAAAGCAGGAACAAATAGAATGTTTCCAGACCAATACACAGACAAAAGTGACTGAATACATCGCATATGTACAAAACCAATAGTCCACTCCGTTGAAACAGTAGCTAATAGCTTCGTTTCTGTACACAAAGTGTGAGTGAATATTTATGTGGAAATATATTGCAGTTAATTATGACTGACAATCACGAAGGAAAAGTGGTATTTGAAGTAAAAAAGTCACAATTTGAGCTTATTGCACATATTTATGTTGCGCAACTTCAATAAACCAAAATAAAATTTAAGGGGTTAACAAAGTAAAGAGTCAGTAGCTACACTTCACTTTCAGCCAATACCATTTATTTTTAGCAATAAAACATTAGCAAAAGCAGTTCATCTACCACCAATACCTACCTATTTGTGTTCGATAAGGCATTGTACAAATCCTTCTCAAGGTCGCACCAGTTGCCGTCGGACACTGTAAACTAATCATCAACAGCATTTTCCGATGACTTTTCCTAAAAGGAGTCTGGTCAAGACTTCAAAAGTTGGTGTATTCCGAAAATTACCACTGGTGATTTTTAGATAAAATATTGTTAAATGGACTACTGAAACGTGTGGCGACCTCAAGCGGGTGGTTTGAATTTTTGGTCACTCGTCAAGTAGTGGGGAAATATGGATTTCCAACATCGTGTAGGGGGAAAAACTGGCTCTGGTGGTGTGGCATCAGAGGCTGAGGCAAATCGTGACCGTAGAGAGCGGTTGCGGCAACTTGCTCTTGAAACGATCGATCTTAATAAAGACCCATATTTTATGAAGAATCACTTGGGGACTTATGAGTGCAAACTGTGTCTAACTCTACATAATAATGAAGGAAGTTATCTCGCGCATACTCAAGGTAAACATTTTTCCACCTCAATTTCTTTTTTCTGTGAATCTAACAAGGTTTATTTTATCTCATGAAATATCTCCAACAAAATATTCCTCCTGTGTTGGTTTTATTATCAACATATACGTATTTTCTGCCCATAGAAAGTGTCTTTGTTAAGCAGTTTTTATGCGTATTTGTTTGCAGTTAGGATTACTTGTGAACCTTGCTGCAGATACAGTTGCGTCATGTATAACCACGCAACTGTAAGGCATTTTCAAGATGGTTGTGAAGGTCACGGTTTTATTTCTCAAGTCAGACTGTTCCCAATAATTCAGGATTGAAAAAGGCTCTTTGGTTGTACCATTATAATGCATCGCAGATCTACATACTCCCAATCTTTGGTGAATTATATTGTTATTCTCCCATATACCTTTTATACTGCATTTTAATGACACAGACACATGTGCGTACGCCAATCACTGAACTATCTATCTACATGCCTGAGAAATTCCCTCTGATTTATTTATGTAACTCATCGCTTGCAAAATCCGTTTTTTTAGCTGTTATACGTAAAACAGCTATTTTTCTGTTGCCAAAAAGTGGAACGCAATGCATTATTCTGTTTACTATGGTTTTATCTGTAAGTATATCATAAATTCTTTGGCTGATATTAAGTTGTACCATTTCTTTATTCATCGTCTTCACATAAGAAATGAGCTTCACTAGCAAAATGCAGGTGATTACACACTAGCTCTCATAACAAAATATTCTCATAGGAAGTGTAATATCTTCATGTTAATGTTGACCACTCGGTTCGTGTAGTTTTGACTGTTCGTCTGTGTTATGAGTTCGGTCACTAAAAATCCAAATTATATGCTGCTTCTATGTTTATACATCAAATTGATCTGAACAACTGAAATACGGTTGTCGATTACCTTTTTATTGAATGTTTCTGCGTTGACCAACCAGTCTCTTTGCTCATTTCAAGTGGACATATTTAAAACTTGTTCTAACTGAAATGATATCAAAATTCACTTTTTAAGTTGTATCTTCGATTACTGAATGTGTTTACCGTGTCACTGTGAAGTGTATTATGCAGGACTAAAACTGACTTAAGTGGTACATTTTGTTGCGCTTCTATGGTTTCTGGACAATATTCTGCACTTTCATGTAACAGAATATCTTGTCATGTCTAGTTTAATTTATCTGTCAATTCGGACCGTTATCTGTTTATCATCATAGGATTCTATAGATTCGCCCAGCACCAAACTAGAAAGCTTCCAATAGAACTCAACTTTAAGTCTTTTAACGATGTTTTGTTCTCACCAAAAAGTTTTTTAACGTAGTACATATTGGAGTCGGCAGATCGGTGCAAAGTCCTACGTCGAAACCAGTCAGTCAATACATGTTGATCTGCTATATTCACTGAAAACGCCGTTAATTAGTGTGGAATTATCTCAGAAAGGTTAAGAACACCTGGACCATGAGACTAAACACTTCATAAAGTTATTGATGGGTAGCATGACAGAGAAAAAGTGGCCTGCCTCTTAGAATGTTAGAATCCTTTGACTATAGACCTTCAGCGATTTGGTCTATAATTGCTTACAGTGAATTAAATACGTTTCCGCTCCATTAATTTAATCGTTCAACTTTTAATTGTTGGGTTATGGGCTCGAACGCTGTTATGCCTACAAAGGTTAGAGCGACCACGTAATATCATCAGTCTCTGGAGTGCATCAGAATATCTGCAGTTTCCACATTATTATAGGTGCAAAAAGTTTGCTAACATCCAGAACTTAAAACTTATAAGGGAATTTATTTGGACCCATTATCATCTAAATCTGGTTTCGTATTCTGTAGGTCTAGATAACGTCAGAGAGCCGCTATTTGAGTTATCTTAATTAAAAACCTAAATAAAACTGTCTACCATTTAATATTGCACAGTTTAAAATTATATAATTGATTTTACTCTTCCTTCAGGTAAGAAGCATCAGTATAATTTACAAAGGCGTGCTGTCGAACAGGCTCGTGAGGCTCCATCTACTATGCAACCAGAACGTGTGAAAGTAGAGCCAAAAAAATTTATCAAGATTGGTCGTCCTGGTTACAAAGTACGTCTTCGTATCAACAAAACATTGATATTATTATTTACGGCCTAGTTTCTTATTTATTATTATTTTATTTTCTTAGCTTATGGATAAACACGTTTTATGCATTGACAATCTCTTATAGAACATGTTTTGATGCTTACAGTCAATAGTTGTTAACATGTAAGGCAGATTACCTCTATCGGGCAATTAAAACAAAAAGATTGTTTCCTCTGTTATGGATAAAATTTACTTTCATAAAGTCACACAGTGTGACACAGTAATATTTACTGATGACGTTTCGAGCACAATTTATTACTCAGTCATATTGTATGATTATGATCAATCTTTTCTTTAAGATTCAGGTAGATTTGTGGGAATAAGAGAATCTATGACTAACTTGGAGAATAGATTCGATAGGCGCTCATACAAAAAAGATACCCTGTTAATTTCGTCGGGATAAATTCATGCGATGCAACTTCACTAGAATGTTCCCTTAAAGTTACCTACAGTTCAAGGCTTAATAGTGCACAAAGAGTTAGATCCTCAAGACTACCTCAAATTGTCTTTGAATCATGCACAACCGTTTTCCGTAGCTTCCTTTTACTCCTTAAAATTCATTGTTGATTATTACTTAACCTTCTGGATCATTGTGTTAATAATATGATTCATACATAAACTGTAGGACTTCTAAATAAGATCTCATCGAAAAAAAGTTTTCGTTATTCGTGAATTAGATTAGTACTCCAGTTGTTACTCATTCAGTGTCATTTAGGGTAAAACTGACTCCTAGCCAGATACAACAACTGGTGGTCTAATACCGAGATTAATAATACAACTGCCTATCATCTGCATGTTCTTAAAATCAAAATAAACATTGTCGATCGAATTTTGGAGATTCGTTAACTATGTTTTTTTTTTACTGGACGAGGTTGCTAGCCTCACTCCCAAACGCCCCTCTTTACCGAGTTTACTCCCAGCTAAGCAAAGTTTAAAAGTGCGTCGGCTGGGAGTTGAACATCGAAACACGTGCGTGATTGGTAAGTATTCTACCACTGTCTATCTGTTTTCGACATAAAACTTTACACCGATGTGCACCAGTTCAAGTCGCCATACTCCCTCCTTGTAGCACACAAAGCAAGAGAAGAAAGTAAAAGAAATGCACAATAGAGACAGTAAACAGAGGTGTGAGACAAAGGAATAGTTATACCGAACAGCAATATAGTTTCACTGGAAATTATAAGTCACAAGGAGTGGATGCATCCGCGCCAGCCATTGAAAACAAGGATTTTGAGCCATGTCACCAATTGTTTCCAACCATTGGCTTTCACCGTCCCGAGGACCCCAACAGGAAGTCTACACCTTCCTTCGTGACTGGCTGGCTTAAACTTACTGTTGTGGATTTGATTTACTTGTGCCATGTTTTGGTTTGACCACCGTTAGCTCTTTTCCAGACTCACCCTATGTCAGCTAACATTGCCCCTCGGTCGAGGAAGGCAATGACTACGTATAAGTAACACATGTCCTAACTATATCAGTCAATGTAATTTCACAGCCTCGTCGATAGATTCCCCCTCCCAACTACCTACCACTCGACTGACGCCTAACCTCAATATTGCTCACCTTATTATACCACTTCACACGGGAGATAGAACACAGGCACCTATGATCAAAGACAGCTAGCCACCCTTTTCGTGTCTTCCACTCTCAATGGCCAGGTCTCGCTCACACCCATAAAGGAGGACGGAACGGACTGATGAGCAGTACACCCACCCTTTGGTCGATAGCTAGCCGGATATCACGTCTACCAAGCCAGAGACGGCATAAACTGGCATATCCGAAACTAGCCCTCTGTATCCGTACTGAGATTTCGTCAGAGAGCAACCCATTGGCACTGGCTGATGGTACTTCCCAAATAAGTGAAGTGGTCAACGTGCTCTAGCAATTCACTCCCTATTTCTAAACTAGCTGTCAGTGTCATGTTAATATGTGTAAAACTTGGGCACTGTGGTAGTAAGTAATTCCATATTAGTTTGTTTATTAAATGTATCACACAGTGAAACAGTATTGTATACTGGATGACGTTTCGAACACAATTTATTGTTCATAATCATATCAATTTTGATATTGATATGATTATACAAGTATACAATACTGTTTCACTGTGTGATACATTTAATAAACAAACTAATATGGAATTTGGAGTCAGTGTAGTACAGTGCAGTCCTGTAACATCATCTTACATTTTACCACTGGACCACCGACGCACTGTCTACTTAATCAGACTACAATAAGCATTGGCTATATAAAATTTACTGGATTGTTGTACTTTTTATAAAAAGAACCTTGGTGTATCTTTAAGTGTTGTTCACATTGTTTTATGTTTATGTAGATATGTGTTATTGTTTTCTATTTTTTCTTTTTATTGTATTTATTTTAAAGGTAACTAAACAAAAAGATCCAGACACTAATCAACAGTCAATGTTGTTTCAAATTGATTATCCAGAAATAGCTGATGCTTCCGGTGTTATACCTCGGCATCGTTTTATGTCTGCCTATGAACAGCATGTTGAACCTCCAGATAAGCGATGGCAATATTTACTGTTTGCTGCTGAACCGTATGAAACAATTGCTTTTAAAATACCCAGTCGTGAAGTAGATAAAGACCCGAAAAAACTATGGACCTATTGGAATGCAAGTTCTAAACAATTCTTTTTACAGGTGAGTTTCATCAAATTTCATCATATGTGAAGTATGTGTATGCAATACTATGTGTAGAATTTCACGAAAGTCACTTTCAAATGGATTCGAATCGGCAATTGGCTCTTTGAAAATTACATATTCAAGTCAATGAGCCATACCTTTAAAAGTACCTCATAATAGAATTGTTTTGATGTCAATAATTCTAAGGTGATTTTTCAGTGATAGCGAATATTATTGGGAATCTCTTCACTCTGCTGCGAATTAAATGTTTAAAATCTTTTTGTGTGTTTGGCTGTGCGTTTGGTGCGGTTCCACAGTGTAAACTTCAGTCTTTCTAAATGTAAAGCTTTCCTATTCCTGCAGTTGTACAACTGCACAAAGTAGCATTGACCGTTGCTACTTTAAGATTCTTATACGAATTATTATTATTATATCCTTTAATTCCTAGAGGAACATAGGGCTTCAGTCGCGCGTCTCCATTGCCTTCAGTTTTCTGCCAACTTTTTCACCCCGCTCCAAGTCTGCCCACATGCTTTCATCTCTTCACATGACCTCCTCCATGTCACCTTCGCACTGACGACCAACTCGCCGCTTCCCTTTCGGGTTCCACTTGAGCAATGGATTGTCTAGTGATGTCACTTGATGGTTCCCTCAGAGTATGGCTGGCCAATCCATCTCCATTTCTTCCTGCTTATTTGTTGTACAATCGGTTCCTGGTTGGTTTGCTCCCAGAGATCCCTATTGCTGATCTTCTCTGGAGAGCCATCTGATCTTGAGTATTGAGCGAAGACAGCTAGCTGTTGATGAAGGTCTGTAATTTGTTTGAGATGCTCTTTATGACGCGCAATGCAAATCTCTGATCCGTATAGTAGCACTGACCCTACATTGGAGTTGAGAATCCGGATGTTATTTTTGATGCTGAGTGCTGTTGACTTATCTCCACACAGACTTGAGAGTAATGAAAGCTTGTCTTGCTTTTTCGATTCTTGTTGCTTTGATATCCTCGTCAGTTCCGCCAACCTGTAGTTGAAACGATGCTCCCAAATAGGTAGGTAAAGAAGGTTGTTTCTTTCAGGCTCCCCCCATTTATGCTGGCTGACTGTCGTCTGTTGTTGTTGTTACTGTTGGCCAGGAATCTTCACCTCTGTTTTATCTATGTTCACCTGATGGAAGTCCTCTCTTTGATGCTTCTTCTGCCAACTTGTTGCTTTTCACTTTCATATCTTCCAGTTTGTGGGAAATCAGACATATATGTCATCGGCAAAGTTCAGATCCTCCAAGTTCTTTTTTGTGTTGGTCCATTTTATGCCTGTTTCCTCATTGCCCGTTGTCTGTCTCATTATCCAATCTACTGCAATCAGGAAAATCATTGACGACAAAACTCTTATCAAGACCATGGTAAGTATGTGGGGATTAGAAAACCGCTTATATAAGGCATTTCACAGATGGAAAAAATAATGAGTAAATAGGCATGACAATATCATTCATTTTCATGAAACAATTTCACGTAACTTTTGATATTGGCTGCTTTAATTTTGCATTACAATTGTTTTTTTTTCTCTCTCAAAATGTAAATGCTTTTCCCTACACAGTTCGCTTTCAAACTAGAAAGTCAGTCGTCCTCTAGTGCAATGCTTCGTGATTTAGAAATGCAAAAAGCCAAAGCTCAACATGCTCAACTTCAACTGCAGCTACCACCGCCACCACCCCCACCACCTCCGCCTCCACCACATGCTATCGGTCTTCCAATGCCTAGTTTTCTTCTCAGTATGCCGATTAACACTAGTATGACAAGTATGCCGCCACCTCCACCGCCTCCACCAGTTATGGTTAATGCAGCGCCTGGAGGAAAAGATTCAAAGACTCTGCTGCCTCCACCGCCGCCACCGCCACCACCACCTTCATTTTCAATTGGAGCTCCACCGCCTCCGCCTCCCCCACCTTCAGTTTCAGTAGGCACGACTGGTGCCGGAACAAACACATCGTCCGCTTCGTTCCCACCACCACCTCCGCCGCCGCCACCATCTGCTTCTTCTGTCCAGATGAATGGGAACTAGAAATCTCTGTTTTTATACTTTAATTAAAAGAAGTTTATTAAATGTTTACTACCTGCCTTTTTTTACTTGTCTCATCTTACTCTGATCTGAGTTAGCGGTGATGTCTTTTTGTATATTGGTTTGAGTTAGCCACCTCAGGAGATGAAGGCTGTCTGCATTCCTACCGGTTGCGTCCAACAATCATTGTATTTCTTGACCTGAGGGCGGAATTCGATTATGTCGACCGAGAGGTACTCTGGCGATGCTTGGCTGTAAAGGGAATGCCGAGAAAATACATTGCACTGATTAAGGCACTTTACTCGAACTGATGCAGTCAGCCAGGTGAGGGCTTACGGCGAGTTGCCATCTGAAGTGGTGACGACTAGTGTTGTCCGTCAGGATGCCCATTATCCCCATTTCTATTCAACTTTATCATAGATGTACTGATGGACTTCACCCTAACTTACTTCAGAGACACAGGGATTGACTTGCTACCACGGAATAATCTCGTTGACTTGGAATATGCAGACGATATAGTCCTTCTAGGCGAGGACGCTGACAAAATAGGGCAGAGTCTTCTAAACACCTTGAGCTGCAATCTACAAATGTTTGGCATGTGATTCGCTCCCGCCGTGAAATGTAAGATGATGTTACAGGACTGACTGTACTATACTGACTCCTAGTTTACAAATAGGGAGTGAATTGCTAGAGCACGTTGACCACTTCACTTATTTGGGAAGTACCATCAGCCAGTGCCAATGGGTTGCTCTCTGACGAAATCTCAGTACGGATACAGAGGGCTAGTTTCGGATATGCCAGTTTATGCCGTCTCTGGCTTGGTAGACGTGATATCCGGCTAGCTATCGACCAAAGGGTGGGTGTACTGCTCATCAGTCCGTTCCGTCCTCCTTTATGGGTGTGAGCGAGACCTGGCCATTGAGAGTGGAAGACACGAAAAGGGTGGCTAGCTGTCTTTGATCATAGGTGCCTGTGTTCTATCTCCCGTGTGAAGTGGTATAATAAGGTGAGCAATATTGAGGTTAGGCGTCAGTCGAGTGGTAGGTAGTTGGGAGGGGGAATCTATCGACGAGGCTGTGAAATTACATTGACTGATATAGTTAGGACATGTGTTACTTATACGTAGTCATTGCCTTCCTCGACCGAGGGGCAATGTTAGCTGACATAGGGTGAGTCTGGAAAAGAGCTAACGGTGGTCAAACCAAAACATGGCACAAGTAAATCAAATCCACAACAGTAAGTCTAAGGTGTAGACTTCCTGGTTGGGGTCCTCGGACGGTGAAAGCCAATGGTTGGAAACAATTGGTGACATGGCTCAAAATCCTTGTTTTCAATGGCTGGAGCGGATGCATCCACTCCTTGTGACTTATAATTTCCAGTGAAACTATATTGCTGTTCGGTATAACTATTCCTTTGTCTCACACCTCTGTTTACTGTTCGTATTATGCATTCCCGCTGCTACTCTATCTCCCTAGCATTTCTGGTTATTGTCATTCTTTCGATTTTCTCTTTTGTCTTACTTTGTGTACTACATGAAGTATGGCGACTTAGACTGGCACGCTTCTGTGCAAAGTTCTACGTTAAAGCCAGTCAGTCAGTGTTCTTAGACGTATCTATTACCATTGGACATCCCACTATTTGTAGATATTTTGTATTGAAATTTTGAGAGATTCACCTGTCACGCCTAACATAATTTCACCACCAGCTGGTGGTGACTCATTAAGATCATGATCAAGGTTGAACTCATTTCTTAATGCCTTGAAAACCATAACAATAAGCAATATTAGTATAAAACATTATTATTATGTCATAGATAATAGTTTCTCCTCTCTTCTTTAGTTTCATACTATTTTTTTTCAATCCAGAGGAATCGACTAACCTAGACTCTGAGTTATTTATAACTGGAAATAGAATTTAGATAAGTCATTTTGGTGTATTTATTTCCAAAATTAACTATCCGCCTATCCCGGCTTGTGAATCTTGACGGTGACATATCATCTGCTAGGATGCTAATTCATACGGCAGACTCATTCAAAGATGGTCCTATCCAGCAAATACGATCCGCTGGGACTTCCTTCATCGTGCTTGTAACTCTGCTTACAAGTTCTTGAATTTTTGAACACACTTTTTTCCAATAAAACCGTTGATATAGTCTGTTTTGTCTTTAACTACCTCTCATCACATCTGACCAATTACTGTGCTGTTATCGTTTCACAGGATTTGTGGACATTGTTTACTTTAGTTTTAGTCTACTTTTGTTTACCGAATTTCCACTAACTTAGAACTCCTGCACATACTTTTGGTCACAGACTTGTGTACTACACGACAGTTCACTCAATACTTCCATATAGGTGGTCGCTGGAAGTAATGTATATGAAAAGGATAGCTATTTGACTACAAATTAAAGTATGCGCTGAAGATGTCACTTACTAGGGTGATGAAAGCTTCTCAAATTAACTAGCCAGCTCAGAGAACACAACCACCTCAAAAAAGGATAGCTATCCTTGACTATAGGTGCCTGCATTCTACCTCATGTATTAAACGGTACAATATGGTGTATAATACTGAGGTTAGGTGTAGACTGTCGTTAGGTAGGGAAGGCAAGTTGATGAGATTGTGAGTTCTTAGCTATGTGTTACTCAAGTCAGGCCATTACGTCTCAAGCCGAGCAGTCTTAACTGACATAGGATTAACTTGAAAAAGGTTGAGAAGTATCGACTTACGAACCGTTTGCTTGTTGATTAGGGCCACGAAGAGAGTTGTAGGCTGTCTTATTAATATATGTGTAAAACTTGGGCACTGTGGTAGTAAGTAATTCCATATTCGTTTTTTATTAGATATATCACACAGTAAAACAGTATTAGTATTTACTGGTTGACACAGTTTCGAACAAAATTTATCGTTCATAATCATATCAGTTGTAATCACTCGACTTTGAAACTTGAGTTTTATAGTTTTCTCCTATTTGTCGTAGGGGTAGTAGAATTTTCCGGATGTCAGGGATAGGTGATGAATCATTTCTATTACATGTATTTGCAGTTGATTCGATAAATAAAGCTTCTGTTATTAATCTCTCCCTATACCCTGTGACATTAGATTTTAAAACTGTCATTCTATTGTATGGTTGTGTGTAATTGCATATAGTGAGTGCTATCTACGGCTGAACTATTCTCCAGATCTTTTATCTTATTCGGGTCAACCAATCTAGAATTTGCTGCTAGGTTTTTATGCTCGGCTGGTCTGACTGCCCCTGTTCTATTAGTTTGACCTATGTATTTGATATGACAACCATCCCAGGCAGGGTATTAGATAAACTAAATTGTTTTGTTTTAAAGGCTCCACAAGATCCTTTAACCGACAATTTTTTTTTTTGATTTACAGCTTGATTCCACACTGTATTTTCGGTACAAGTGTGGAATTTTCAGCATGGATATCGGTAGCCCAAATTTCGCAGGCCGACCATAGATATCAGATGTGCGTCGGTGCGGGCTCGAAACCCGGACCATGTGCATGATCGGCGAGAGTCCTAACCACTGTGCCACCGGGTTTGAATGCCAGCCACTTTTATTCCTGCCTTGTTAAGAATTCTGTGTAAGGCTTCGGAGGTTCCTTCTTTGTATGGAATTACTGTTGATGATTTAGACTCCTTATTGTTGGTGTCATCATTAATATTATTATTACTATTTCACTGTGTGATATATCTAATAAACAAACTAATATGGAACTGTAGACTGCCTGGTGAGCATCTCTGAGAAGCTAAGAACGAATGAACTGAGACTTGTTGTGATGTCGCGCAGAATTATCCACTCTTTCTAATCTCCTGAGTTCATTATATTTCCTTTGGCGTGTCACACAAAAAGCGTGTCCCTGACAACTTAGTTTCAACTAGATGATATTTTAGTTGATAGCTCCTTTCTTTTGATGCATCAGTTGACTACGTTGTATGTTTGTAGGTATTATGAACATGATTCCCTGTCTAAAAAGTTGTCTTCATCAGGTCAATATCACTGCGTATTTCATTAAACTTATTAATAATCGTTCGTAGTCCTCTTACATGAAATCTGATGATATTTTCTAATACTAATTTAGTTAAATTTAAAGTGCTATATTCAACGAAATCATCTTATTTATTGACAGAAAACATCGAATGTAGAATGGTTCACTGGTTTTAGACTTTCAAGCGAGAAATCCTACTCACAAGTTTCAGTGTGCGACAGCATATGACAGCACACTATGCGATGGGATAAAGGAAAATTCCTAAAATACAGTTTAGTTAAGTGCGATGACTGGCCATTAAAAAACTTGTTCAACGAAACAAAATGTAAACCACCAGAAAGGTTCAACACTCACTGTGGTCACAAAATCCTTCAATCAACAATATTTCAGTACTGTATGCTACAACAATTCAGAAATTTTGCCAGAAACTCCTTGCCGACTAGTCTTCGTCTCTAAATTCACCACCATAATGAAGCCTGGTTGATCCGGTGTTTTCTCAGAGTGGAAAACGCTTTCCTTGACTGGTTGTTGATTGGTGGTCTAGGTAGTGTCTGATTGTATCGTAAGAAAACTAAATGACTGTAATAAGAGCTAATTATTATTTTGCATACAATACTTTGATGTATTCAATACATACTTGGGAGGTCTAAGCGTGGAATGAAGAAGTTTCCACATAGTGGATTGAGTGATGAGGTCACTAGGTGAAGTTTCCTTCACACAATTATCTCCTGACCTCAAAAAAATATATATACCTTAGAAGGTTATGAATACGACCTATGGGCCCAAGTGAGTCGACGTCTATAAATTCTGGTGGGAGAAATAATGTTAACCGCGATTATATCACTTAAAGAAGTAATCATGCAGTCGGTGGTAGGTAGTGTGTGTTGTAGGCTAATAATTTTTGGGAACTATTTGCGACTACATCGTCGTTAAAAGTACGCGTGAACTTAGAGACGGCCGTCATAGTCAGTTCACTTTCTGTATTAAACCGTTATTTTCTTAACCTCTTTTCATATTTTGAACACATTTTCAGCACACAACTTAGTCTCGTTACTCAATGTACTTGAATCCGTTGAGGGGAAAAATCGTAGAACTCGAACACTTTTTGTTACATATGTGCAGCCTTGCTGAGAAGAAACGCTCTCGTAGTAATCATCTTTTTATTTATCTCATGAATAAATGAGTTTATTTCGCGTTTCCACCGAAATGCGCATTCAAATTTTTTATTTGAATGGAAAGCAGCTTGTAGCTTCATCGTCGTCGTTGAGCAGTTTGTGCACGATTTTGGCATGTAATCGCAATAAGTACCCAAATCTCGGTGCTGTGCACTAAAGCAGTGAACCACACCAACTTTGAAGAACCTAAGGACACCACTTACCTAAATTTAGGAAGCCCCAAATAAAATCATACTGAACTGCTCGAAACAGAGTTCCTAAGTCGACGAACCTCATCGCTCTACTTAACAAAATTTTATTATTAAAAACACAAAATCGACACATTATGGGCACCACACAATACTCACAGTTTGTGAGGAGAATCAGAATGCTGCCCGAGCACCTAAACCAAAGAAGGCTGATGTTTTAAAGGAACGCACTCCGAAGGCTTTGACGTGAGGTCTCATCCATAAGGTAGTGGGAAAAACATTGTGAACTGCATTCCCATAATTCAAAGTGACCGAAACATGTTCATACGCTATTAGATCCTTTCGGATTCTAGAGCTTGTGTACGCGATAGGTTTGGATTTACACAATATGGCACCAAGAAAGATGTGCCACACAATAATAATAAAACAACATAGATTAATAGTAAAAATATAAGTAGAGAGCGGATAAAGAACTTCATCTGGAAGGAAAACAGTCATGCTTAACAAGTTCAAACAGTATTCGCTAACTATCAACCGGAAGGGAAGAAAGAAGGAAGTTGCAACACGTTCGCCATTGATTACGATTCTTGGCCATATCCGATAACGTTTCGAGCTATCTCGCAGATCCCAACCAGGAGTCGTGACGCACCAACCAATGCTAAACTAGCACAAATATCCTTCATCCCACGACGCCACGTCATAGACTGACCACCTCTTCGCCTTTTCCATTCCGTCCCAGGGCTAGCGAACAGAGATCTGTATGGAAGCCTCTCGGATAACATTCGCAGCACATGTCCAAACCACCGGAGCCGGTGTTTCCAGATGACGACACTCAATAAATGGTGATCCCCACTGTGTTCAAACACACGCCGCCGAACCTCAGAATTACTCACACGACGATGCAAGCAATCCTGCGATGATCGAACACGCAGAGTCGCCGCACATCCTCAGCTCGGAAATTTAGGCTTTGTCAGCTCCCCTACGTAGATCAACAAGTCTACCAGTCCGTTTTTAAGCAGTAGACGTTCACATTCACTACTGTGAGAAAAATCGCCATGGCATGAAGTTAGCGAATAGTAAATATTTCTTCGCTCAATTCTTTGGCTTTCTACACTGACGTTTATTTGAAATTATAACAATACACCGAAACAATTCCAATACGTTTGAAATAGAACGCATTTAAAAAAGAAAAAGCCAACTTGAACAACCGATGTATTTTGTTAACGTTTAGGCAAAATCAAATTTTAAGAAAAGTTGATTGCTATTTTTTTATTGTGTGTGTGTGTTTAGCAATCCTTAATAACACGAAGCCATGATCACAAATCAATAGAGACAAACAATAACTTTTATTCCACTACGACATATCCAAGCTCCCTCCACTGACAACAAAATGAAATCTTGCATAGATGGATGGATAAATCTTTACAAACCAAGAAAAGACCATCAAGACTTTCACAGACACACACACACACGATATGAATGTGTTATAAGTAAATACCGGGCACATAAATATTTGATAGAGTAACACACCTACAGACAAGCGAAAGAATTATTCAAATTTCATGTTTTTTTTAAGAAAAATTACGCCAGTTAAAGCTGGAAAAAACGCACGCGCGCACACACACACATCCACAAAATAAAAGACAGAGGAGTGAGTTAAAGCCTAAGCTTGCTTTTATCTTGCATAAAACACAAAAAAAGAAAAAGATGATCATCACAGATTTGGTTCACGGGTGAATATTATATTATATAGCAAGGGGGAGAGGAGATGAGAAAATAAATAAATTTTCTTTTGATGATTCAAACATAAACAAAAAAATCAAAACTTTTAAGAATGTTAACATATTTGTTTTTTCTTCCACAGAAAGAGGTATATAAAGAAAGTGTTAGGCTAGTGTTAATAGATATAAAGCCTGCAAAAGGAACAAATAAGCTGTACATATTCACGCATGGATAGATAATTAAATACATATACACTTATTAAGGAGGTAAGAATATAATATATATATATATATATATATTTAGAGGCCAAATTTAACAAATTAAGTTAGCTGAAATGAAACACCGAAGCTGTTGACGGATAAACTTGAAGGCAGCCGGCGGCAATTAAGGCTATATAAATAGGCATGTGTATGTGAATGTATAGGGGTGATGAAATAACATCCGCAGCCAAACAATTTTTTCAGAGTGACGAATAAAGAGAGAGAGATTAAATGAATTCAGGTAATTAACAACCACAGGTTTTCCATTGAGTCTCTTGAGGAGGTTCCATTGGTTTCAATTCAATATCTGGAGGAAATTGTGGATAAACACAAAACCAAGTAGAGATGCATATATATCATTAGGAGACGTTTCGAGAAGGCGGATGATAATACAAGGTTGTGATGAACAGACAGTGCGGCAGCATAATCGTAGTGTTTAGTTTTAAAAAATATATCCAAGTTAAGGATGAAAAAGCCTCAATGATATGGGGTACTTTGGACGCTTTGAAATTTACATTCAACAATAAAAACAGGTACACACACACATGTTACTGAATAATACAGCTAGAGACAAACGCGTTATATAATCCTACCAAATTAGAAGCGCTGATAGATCTATATATATTAGTGAGGATAGTAATTTTGTCAGTTGAAGTGTTAGTTGAGTCTAACGATGAAAAAGCTCTAAAACTTCCTAAAGTTATGAGAAGAACCAACAACTAGAGAGTGCTGTGCAGCAAAACACACATATCTGTGGATAAATTGGTGATGCATATAGGGTAACTTGGGGTAACTCTTCACATAAGCAAACAAAACAAAAAAACTTACTTCGCTCAAAGAGGAATACTCCAAATAAAAATTTCAAATAACATGAATATTAAAAACGCAAAACACACCCCTTCGCTCACCCCCCCCCCAAAAAAAAGAAACTAGACGTAGCCGCTATACATACACTCATTTCAAACTAGGACGATGATATATCACCACACACACACACACACCCAAAAAAAGGACAAACTCTTCAGTGAGAAAGAAATATACATCACCCAAATCTACATGTGTGCATTGAAGAGATAGGTAGATAAATAAATGTGCGCACAAACTTTTGCTGAGTAAAAAATTTTTTAAAAAAATGTGCACAAGAGTTACACAGAAGCTTACACAATTAAAAAAGCGAGTCAGCACCAGCAAACTCGCTTGTTATAATCGGTGTCTTTAGCAACGTCGTGTAATTTAACCTCGATGACTAAATTTCATTAAAAACAAGAAACAATTACAGAAAAACACAAACACACACACAGAGTGAAATTTGTAAAAAATAACACAAACAAACACCAAGTTCCAAAAAAGAGAAATTATTCAAATCAAGGAGAAAAGCAAGGTAAATGAATTAAATTTTCATGATATTTCAATTCCAGTGAAAACAATAGAACATCGTAATCTGTTTTACTGTGAAATATATGTAGCAAAAAAAATACCCATCCAGGCATGAAAAGAACGAACAGTTTTCACCGAAGTCTCTTTTCCAAGAATTCATTCGTTTAACTATACGACCGGAAATATATATACATAATTATTTTTGTATGTGTGTGCATAGCACAGGAATAAAAATTAGAGTTCTGACCAGAAAGACACTGAACGCCCTGAAAAACGCATTCTTCGCTCCTAATAATGACTGATATTCTCTCTTGTCATCCAATATTCTCCAGTAATCCCGAGACATAAACTATCGCATCTACCAATTTACTTGTTTTTGTGCAGAGTACTAGAAGATCGTCCGATGCGTGTTTTTATCCAAGAGTCAAAGAACAATGAGGAGTGTCATAAATGAACATACATATTCGACACTGGCCACTCCCTAAAACAGCATACTTTGCATTGCCCAAACCATAGAGATTCGGAAGGAAAGGCGTGATTTATACAATGCCGAAGAAACTTTCTATTTCTTTCTTCTACCTTGGGTATAATTCCAGGTTCAAGTGTCATTATGGATAAGATTTTATTTTGATATATCACACAGTGTTATATATAGTAATATTAACTGATATATTAGTGTATAACACTGTGTGATTTATCAAAATAAAATCTTATCCATAATGGAGTTGTAATCTACCACAAGTACCCAAGTTTTATACTTATATCAACTGTCACTAACACTGTTTTGTGCAATTTCCGTACGAGATTTATTATCGTCATCACTTTGTTAACTAACTCTCTGTTTACCTCATTCGCCTACAACAAAATTTATTTTGATACTTATCTCTATACTCTTCAATTAAGATTCAATTTTTTCTGGGCATTTCTCGTATTACGTAACCTTAATCTGCGCATGCCTGACCATCGCCTTCCTCGATGGGAAATGTTAGCTGATATGGGATCAGGTTGGAAAAGACCTAGTGGTAGTCAAAACAAGACATGGCATCAATCAATGAAATTCACAACAGTTAGTTTAAGCCAGTCACGTAGGGAGGTGTAGACTTCCTGGTTGGTGTCCTCGGGAAAGTAAAAACCAATGACTGCAGACAATTGGTGGTATAACTCACAATCGTCCTCATTAGCACAGATCTATCTGTCTGTTTTTGACATAGAACTCTGCACATATGTGCGGCAGTTCAAGTCACCACACTCCATATAGCACACAAAGCAAGAGAAGAAAGTAGAAGCACAGATGCATTCACTTTTTGTGATTGATACTACCCAATAAAACTCTATTGTTCTTCCATATTACCATTCATTTTCCCTCACACTTCTGTTTATTGTCTGCTTTTTGAATCCCCTTTACTCTGTTATCTTGCTTTGAGTGGTGTGACAACTCGAACTGCTGCACATCTGTGCAAAGTTCTATGTTGAAACCAACTGGTCAGTCAGTCAGTCAGTCACAAGCGTTCAATTTTATCCAAACTGAATCTTTCGCTCTATCAAGCAACCCCAAATGTTTTTAACATTTCTTTTTATCTAACAAAGACAATCGAAGACAATATCTCTAAACAGTAACATCCGTTGATTAAACAACACTCAATTTTAGATGGTAAGGTAGTGATCATCTCACACAATAATATGAGCTTACTTTTTAAAAAGACTGATAAGTTAATAGGTCTGGTTGAATCAAGTAACGTCTGAGCCTGTACTACCTGTCAGCTAATGTTCAATCAAGTCTGAGGGGTCTGATGATTTATAACGTTTTTTTAACAACCGCAAAACATGACGAGTTGATTGTAAATATATATATATATATATATATATATGCAGGCTACACATCACGTTAACCCGGACAGAGAATGGATACTATTCTGAATTCGACCGATATACTTAATTCATGATTAATGAATGTCCTATATGTACAGTGTGACAACCATCCGTTCAAAGTACAGCAGGATGATTTTCTATAGTGGTATGCTAATAGCTGGAATTTGGGGAAATTATGTCTACTATGTCTAACTGTTAAATTAGTATGGAAACATTCTTTATATTAACCAACTAATGAAAGAAAATGTGTATTTTGAGTTTACTGTCATTACTACAATCGACTAGAATTCATGACAGTTATCGACTACAAGCCATTTATTTAATATGCTTATAACTTTTTTTCCAGGCTTTCTTACTTGAGATTTCAGAGAAGCAGAAATGTACAGTAAAATGGTTAAAGCTAAAATAAGGTGAAAGTCTATACATACTGCTGTGATACACATCTAACTCAAAAACATACTTTATAATTTTGGATGACAGTGGAAAATATTTCTAATCTAATATGTCTACACTCACAATTTCTTAATGCAAAATATAGGATGGTCGATGAGTGGAGTGTCAGCACTTTGGAAATATCCAATATAAGGTATCATCATTTATACGAACGTGACCCAGCACGTATCCGAGTGAGTGAGAACTACTCAAAGTAAAAATAGACAATAATTATCTACTAATACTTGTAATTGCGAAGTATCTAGTGATGCACAACGGAAAACTCAAAAAAGCCTTTGAAGCGAAGACAGAATGAAGAAAGACACGACAACCTACTATAACCGATGATATTCCTAATTGTGGTGTACTGGATTATGCAGCTGTCTATGGGAAGCGAGAAGACGGGAATACGTTGCACCAATAACAAGACGCTAGAAGATATGGACTATATGGACGACTTATGTTTGATGTCATATAAACCCGATGACTTACAGGTGAAAAACAACAAGTGGGCAGAATTGACAGGCAGCACAGACAGGACGTCGTCAAGTGAACATGCAGAAGACACAGACAACAACAAGTACTAATTACTATTCCTTTGTCTCACACCTCTGTTTACTGTCTCTATTATGCATTTCTTCTACTTTCCTCTCTTGCTTTGTGTGCTATATGGAGTGTGGCGACTCGAACTACCCCATATATGTGCAAAGCTCTATGTCGAAAACAGACAGACAGACAATTATTATAAAAGGAATACATTTGAAAGAAGTTACTCACTTCACCTATCTAGCCAGCATAGTTCCAACTACAGGCGACAGTACAAATGACAATGTCAAAAACAGGATCGGAAATGCGAGACGGACCTTCATCACCCTGCGATAAGTCTGGAAATTTGCACTCAGCATAAAAAAAAACTCCGGATTTGCAACACTAACGTTTAGCAAGACAGTTCTACATGGATCAAAAGTTCAGCGCGTCATGAAAAGCATTTCCAGTGGGCTACTTCAGACTTTTGTCAACAGCTGCCTTCGTTCCATATTGAAGATTAAATAGCCCAAAAGATTCACAACAGGAAACCCTGGAGATAAACCAACCAAGAACCCATTGCTCAACAAATATTCCGAAGAAAATGGAGGTGAGCAGGACGCACGCTGAAGAGACCATTGGGTGACACCGCCCGCCAGTCCCTCGAGGGGAGCACATATGGGAAACGACGGGTTAGGTAAACATGAGTAACACGGTGTAGACGACAGCCTACAGGAAGTTGTGGGGCTAGCTAAAGAGGACTGTATGGAGTAGGACAAAGTGGAACCCAAGGAAATAATAAATAACTGGACTGAATAATTTACAAATATTATAGTTAAACACAATAGTGGACTCTAGTGAATTTAATCATGATATTAAACATAAAAGTTCCGTAAAATGAAATTAAAATTGATACTTCCTCATACACACATGCACACTCTAGATCATGAACCAAGTCGCACATTCTAGACCCACAGATATAGCCTACTCAGAGAGTGAAATGGATTAAATCTCCTGTTTCCCACTTATTTTGTGAGAAATGATAGAGCAGAATTCTAATGATTCAGTAGGTACTACAATGTTAAATAAAACGATAGTGAAATAAGCCAATAAGCTTTAAAGAAAGGAGTTCCCTACCACCTACTGCTGTAGGCGTTTAAAACTGGTAAGAAGTTTCCTCATCTGACTTAAGTGTTGAACACACACGGACAAACTCAGAACATATATAAACATATATAAATAAATAACCAGAAAGGATACAGTCATCATGGCGAGGAACTGGGTTCTCTCGGTTCAGTAGCTCTGTTGCAATCCGACGAAACAGCTGAAAATGGAAAACAAATAATAGGATAATGATGTTTGTAAATTATTCAAACAACCGCTTGCCCAAAAACTAGTGCAAATTAATAAGTGGTCGCCGTAAGAATACCGCAGACAGAAAGTTGGAAATAAAATGCGATGAAGGTAAGTGTAGATTATAAGATAAGTCCCTTGAAATATTTGAAATTAATGGTTATAAACAGTTGAGGATGAGTGCAAACAGGTATGTAACCTTAGCTGACTCTAGTTTTACCGAGTGACCTAACCTGAAACTTGGCAAAAAAAGACGGTTCAAGTTTCTACACTCCAGAAAACTAAAATAAGAAGCGAATACATCCGCACCGTAGTAAGGGATTATGTGCAATGCTGGGGGAAACTCCAACCACTGATTTATAGCATCCCTAGAGGGAATAATTCACCTACTGTAGCATTCAATTTTACACCTATAGGTCACACGTTCAAATCCTGTTCCATCCATTTTAGCCTAGGTAACTAGATAGCACTATCAACTTTCAAATGATAAGTGTAGCCGAGGCTAGTACATGAAAGATTCATCCCAGGTAAGTGAGTTCAAATAAGAAAAACCTTAACTACATCAAATACATTAATATATCCATAGTAAAACTGATAGTGCTGTGATAGTGTTATGGTAGTGCTTACTCCGTAGAGACACTGGTCGTTATTTTATTTATTAAGTCCTTCTATGTTCTTACACTGTAAGGTGAGTTCTAATAAATCGCATTCATTAGTACAACATAATTTTTCGTCATTTCTCCACAGCTAAGCGTTGCCATAAAACCAATTCTCTGATAGAGTAGTGCCACCTTAAGGTCACGAAATGTGTAGAAGACTAGTAGCCAAACGAATCCCAACCCATTTACATACATGGCCTCTGGACGATTAGGTGTAGCCATGATTATTGGCAAGCTAATTTTACAAAAATAACTTCCCGTGGAAGATTAATCTTCAGGAAACAACTGTTATTGGTATCCCAGTAATGAGGTTCAATCGGAAATAGGAACGCAAAATACTCACTATATGATCTTGGAAAGCTTTCCAAAAGTCATTCAGTTCACGTTTAAACAAACAGAAAACAAATATACTCAACTCCAGAGATAAAACGATAATAATACTCTACAGCCTGGTTGTTTGTTTGAGACACCAGGTCGGTTACAGAAACTTCGGTTTTCGTTAATTTAAATATCCCCATTACGATACAGAACATTTTTGACAGTTTCTAGTCAGGCTTTATTCGGCACAGACATTTAATACCATCGTAGTTAAGAGAGTTAAAGTTCAGGCATATAAATCGGTGGGATATAATCAGGGTTCATTGGCTTAATTGCTTGACTTCGAGTCACTGAGTCCCGGGTTCGAATCCCCCACCCACCTACTAAAAGCTCAGGAAACCAGCCCTCACACCATAAGTGTGGTCTAGAACCTGGAACATGAAAGACCTGTGCCAGGAACTGAGTTCAAAAACAACCAAGGAAATTGTAATAAAAAATACCATGTGAGTGCCTACATAAAGTTTACTACCATAAGAACACGAACAATAAGATGGCACAACAAGAATAATATTCGAAGATGCATGACTTCATCAAAAGTGAAACTATTAGTTATATCTAGATTAAAAGGGGAGGTCACAGACTACTTGCACTCCCACACTATAATAGCACGAATGCTAACGATCGGTAAACAATTGTGGAATTTTAATGAATATGGGATATACACCACAAAGTCTGGACAGAGCACTGTGCATTTATAAATTAAATTACTTTTTTGAAGGAAAAACCACTCACCAAGCTTACTATTTCTTTTGTGAGCACTATATAATATAGTAGAGGCAATGATGTTTATCAAGAGCCTAATACTAACACAGCTAGGAAACAGCTCTGGGTACAACCGCGATATCTTCGTCTCTTAATGACACTATATATTTGTAAATATCTTCGGTGCCCGACCATCTTCATTATCATTACTGTTATTATCATGTCTCTAAGAGTGCATAATTCAATCTTATTTTCACAATTACAAAATCAACTGCTTTATTATATAACTACTATGAGATAACCTTCATACCTAGTCTCTATTCCTGCACATATACAAACTATTGACACATTTACATCGACCAGCTAACCAGATTATGTGGATACTTGCATTATTTCTTCTAGCATAATTATGTACTTGATCAGTAAACATCAGTTCATAAACACTTCTACACAAATGCAAGCATAAACTGAAGTAACTAGGAAAATCTTTGACTTTAAAATAAGCAGACTAATATGTTGTATGCTATGAAATCTTTTAAGAAGCTGCTTGCTTGTCAAACATAGCAGGTGGCAACTAAATAGGTCAGTAAAATAAACACTAGTTTTTTAAACAGCAATGTGTTCACCATTTACATACAAACCACAACTTCATAATGGGGTTAAACCCAAGTTAGTTAAAAAATCTATAATGGAATTAGTTAAAAAATTCAATTAAACGTGATTTCAAATGATTACTCACAACTTTGACATTATATCCAGCCTTGGCGCTCGTTTCAATAAACATAACATTGAGCTGGTTAGCCTTCCGCTCACCTTCTTCTGTGGTCACCTTCCTACAAAATTCATGCATGAATGCATAACACTACCTTTTTTCTGACAGGTCTGTTTTGTTTCCAACTAGCATTATTATAACGTCACTACCGCGTTCATTCCTGACATCATCTATCCATTTCGAAGTTAGGTGGAAGGAATCAACATCTACGAGGTAAGCTCTTAGAAAAACACATACTGCATATATCATAAACCACGACAGCAACTGACGAGTCGCGTATGTAACTAGGAATTAAGCTTCGAAAACGCTCCTGTCCGGCTGTGTCCCAAAGTTGTAGACGGATCTGAGGTGTTAATCAAGTAAATGAAGCTTACAGTTCTATCTTCGAGGTACATAGTCTTCGACAAGAAATCGATACCGATAGTGGCCTTACAGACAAATAGGTAATTACTTCGGCATTAGAACACACCTGGTAAAGGTTATCAAAAGTCTCGTACATAAATCGAGTTATAAGTGACGTCTTCCCAACTGAAATAAAAAAGGATCATCATACAACATCGGAAACTAACCACTCTGCTCTCCTAAAAACACTAGTTTGAACTTCCTCAAGGGATTATTAAAATCAGCCATCTGGGAAGCACAAGGAGAAAGCCACGCGAATTGCCGCCACAACCAAAATTAGGACGAACAAACAATGATACCGTCACGAAAACGAAGTTGGTAAAAACTTAACTGGGAGGCAGGAATCTGTTACTCGGTGCACGAAATAGCTTTAAAGTAATTTCTGCAACTAGACAAACCTTTCAGTAAGTTTAGGGAAGACAAGAGATGCAGATATATACGAAGTCAGCAAATGGGTTGGAAAATTTCAGAATATCCAACATCACGATAATTTAAGCTAAACATCCAAATGTTAGCACACTATGAACAGGAGTCAGTAACAAAGTGCATATTCAATATGTCATGGGCATACAGTGCACCTTCTCTTGCATCGGAATTAAGCCAATGATTAAAACATATCAAACTGAGCAAACAATATTAAACAAATGAAAACTGAACGTGCTTAAGGGTGCCTCAGATTCGGGCTTGGACCACAATCTCGCACATCTCTGTTGTGCTAATAACACTCAGATACTCAAAGACTGTTGTTCATTCATCCTAGTAAGATAAATCCTGAAACCCTTTCCCCCAAAAAATCTGATCAATTGGTTGTATTGATCATCAAGGCGTATACCTAAGTAAATGAGTCTGCTCTAATCGTGTTTTGTATTCAGTGCTCTCCGATGAGTGACTTTGTAGTGTACACTGAAATTTTGAGCTTTTGTTTGAACGCACTCACCCACTTTTGCCACCACTACTTCATCTTTTGATTTGTGACCATCCTGTACATACTTGGTTCGCTCTCTGTCAGCCACGTCTCGTAAACCGTCAATGCCCAGCTCTTGCTGCACTCAGGCTCACGCTGTTCCTTGAAGTTTCTCAGAAACGCTTAGTAATAACGGACGCAAAAACCAAAACACCAATTGGCGACTCGAGGATTCTTTATTGTAACACCAACATATAAACACTGTTACAACTAAGGTCTGTGAACAAATATTACAATAATGAATCACAATATTACTTCTGACAGTTGTCTCCTGACTTCTTTCTGAACAGCGACCGATGAGACGATGACTGTCGTATTGATGCCTCCGCGAAAATTGGGGAAGTTGATTTTGAGCAAACAACCATGAATTGATCGTTCAATCTTCAACTACATTGACACTCCCCGGCAAAAAGGGATCCATCCCTTTTTTCCATCACGACCAATACACGTTGGCTTGGACGCTATTGCGAGAACCTGGGTCACACGGACAGAGCTGAAATGGAAAACAAACAGAAAAGCCAACACACCACAAGCATACTCAAAGCACGATCTCACACATCAATGACGACCTGCGCCTTCCAGTTAAAGGCATCCTCTTGACACATCCTCTTGCAACACAATCGCCACTTGCTAGAATGACTCTTGCAGAATGCAACGTGACCATAGCACCACCTCATGATACTCTACGCACATCATCTTATCTACTCACTACCAATTACCACTGCAATCGCTTGTCACTCATTCTGCCTCAGTTCTAGTAACGGTGACGTATGCGAGCCTCAGTCGTTTACACTCCTTCTCCCCGGCGCGTGGGACCACAGCTAACAATTACCTCCGTGTGCATGTCATTCTCAGCAATAGCCTCCCCGGCGTATACGACCCATCTACTGTCCTTAACATCGATCAATTCATTCACGGATGTAGAAGACAAGAAACAACTTCGGAAGTAATCACGACGAAAATTTTAACAAAATTACGCAATAACAACAAGATATAAAGACAACAAGTGAACACAATGAATCCAAAAACACCAATTGATATGACACACCACACATATATACAAACAGTACACACAAACTCGCGGATCATGTCTTGATGGAATTCCTTTGAAGAATCGCAGGACTTACACCAGTACGCCTGCAACCCTTCTCACATTGACGACTGTAAGTTGTGGAATGTACGGACACAAACAAGATTAACCAACAATTACAATAATTGGAACTCACACAATTATTTAACACAAACATATGTACAATCAACACATCAAAGTGGCGGATTCTGCCTTGACGAACTACCCTTGAAGAACTGTAGGACTTACACCAGTACAGCTACAACCCCTCTCAGGTTGACGCTCTAGGTTGGAAAATCGTCGCAGAGTTCATTTGCTGACTTCCCTCTATCAGCTATATCCTCAAATCTGAACGGTAACACGCTCATATCATTGTATCGTAGAATATAGATGACGAACAAACACACGACATATCTGATCAACCAAGTGTAGAAACAGAGTAATTTACACCAAAGATAATAGCACTCAAATAGTAACTTGAAACTAGAAATGCCCTTATTCATGCAAGTCAATTTAACAATTACTCTCTCGTTTACACTTGACTTATCCTCTCTAAACTGAGCAATATCTTTCGTCTTTTCAAACGCACCGATACCATCATAGTCACTGTACAACACACTTTAGTTGATGGGCGTCTTTTTCATTGTGGATGACAACACCAACGACGACTGACTGATACCAGTTGATGAACTCAGCGGTGGATCAGAAGCTGTCGTTGCTCGGCTTTCAGATAGTTGTCTAACTGGAAGATTACCACCACTGCTGTATTTTACTATCAGCTCAGGTTTAGCACTAGCATCTGATGATAGGTGGGCTACATGCTGATCAATCACACTGACGGTCTCACAAGTATGCATGCCTTCTGCAACTGCATCTGCATTTAATTCTACTTCACCTTCAAGTTGTACAGAACCTTTATTCAACTCAGCAGTAGTAGGCATTCCCCCCATTTCATCATGATCAACCAAAGACAAATCTGCACTATCATGATCATTATCACAAATATTCAATTTACCATCATCTATCTGGTCGACTTCATCATTTTCAAACTCTTTAATAACAGCAGTAGATGATTTGGGTTCTTCCTCACAAATCCCTAAAGATTTTATACCTTCACTCTGACTAGTAATACCTTGTAAACTTGTGGAGTCAGAACTGCACTCTGAAGCAATAACTCTATTCTGTGACACTCTATTCAACAATGGCTTACCAGTTGCAACTACAGACTTCTTAACCGCACCGTTATCGTCACACAATTCGGAGTCAGGCCTGGAGTTTACATTTAGCTTATCACTGAACTTGCTCACTGGTTCACAGTTCACCTTTGTATGCACCTCTTGCAAACGTGTAAAACACAACCGTGCTTGTCTTGCATCTTGTAACTTATCTGTTGAGGATGTACTACGAAACCTGTTACACTCACTAGGTCTATATGCATTACTAGACATCATGGAGCCTTCTCGATATCCACCTCTCTGAGGCCTATTCGTCATCAATGATTGCATTTTGCCCTCAGACTGCTCTATTCTAGGGGTGAGATTCAATATACTGGCAAACTTGCTCATAGATTGATTGACGCTATCTTTTACTAGTTTCGGGATATCATCAAACTTTGGCTCGATACCCTCATCCTCCATACGGGAGCTTATCTTCACCCACTTCCTTTGCAGTCGAGTAGGTAGGCGTCTTGCTATTACTTCTAGTATAAAACTCGAGTTGAGGTCACTCATGCAATTCATCGAAATCAATGCATTCTTGTAAATCAGCAAATTTCCAAAAACTCAGTGAGTGCCTGGGAGTCATCCTGTAGTTGATCACCATTACTCTTAACAGCCTCGAATAATTTCCCTACAATAATCGAAGGTCTTCCAAACCTTTGACGTAATATGCTCATAGCCTCAGCGTATCCCTCATTAGGGGGCATGAGTTCACAGCACTGTGTAGCTCTTGCAGAAACTCCAGTGCAATACCTCATCAAATACATTAACTTCAATTCATCACTTAATAGAAAACTACTCAGCATGATCTCAAACTCCTTTACAAATTGTAAATAATCAGCCGGGTTTCCATCGAAACACCGTGGTTCAAATTTAGGGAGTTTGATGTTCCTATTATCCCTGAACGGCGAAACAGTAACATCAACCATGTCATGTTTAACATCAGACACATCGTTACAATTAACAGACAAGTCACAATGACTTACTTTCCTGTTTGCATCCGACACTCTGTCCCTTCTTTGACCCAGGCATTGTTGAACTTGACCCAATTCCAAAAACGTTCCAGATATTGCTTGTTCAAAGACGACCTGACCGGCACAAGGAAAGATGAATGATGACTATACAAACTGTCACCAGCTATCTGAATCCGTCAGAAAACGTTCCGCCGTTAGAAACAGACTTCACTGTCAGAAACTGTCAGCCATGTCTCGTAAACCGTCAATGCCCAGCTCTTGCTGCACTCGGGCTCACGCTGTTCCTTGAAGTTTCTCAGAAACGCTTAGTAATAACGGACGCAAAAACCAAAACACCAATTGGCGACTCGAGGATTCTTTATTGTAACACCAACATATAAACACTGTTACAACTAAGGTCTGTGAACAAATATTACAATAATGAATCACAATATTACTTCTGACAGTTGTCTCCTGACTTCTTTCTGAACAGCGACCGATGAGACGATGACTGTCGTATTGATGCCTCCGCGAAAATTGGGGAAGTTGGTTTTCAACAAACAACCATGAATTGATCGTTCAATCTTAAACGACGTTGACATACCCTGTATATTTTATTACGGCTTACGTTGAAACCACGGTGTTTCGACGGAAACCCGGCTGATTATTTGCAATTTGTAAAGGAGTTTGAGATCATGCTGAGTAGTTTTCTAATAAGTGATGAATTGAAATTAATGTATTTGATGAGGTATTGCACTGGAGTTGCTGCAAGAGCTACACAGTGCTGTGAGCTCATGCCCCCTAATGAGGGATACGCTGAGGCTATGAGCATATTACGTCAAAGGTTTGGAAGACCTTCGATTATTGTAGGGAAATTATTCGAGGCTGTTAAGAGTAATGGTGATCAACTACAGGATGACTCCCAGGGACTCATTGAGTCATTTTTTAATTTGCTGATTTACAAGAATGCATTGATTTAGATGAATCGCATGAGTGACCTCAACTCGAGTTTTATACTAGAAGTAATAGCAAGATGCCTACCTACTCGACTGCAAAGGAAGTGGGTGAAGATAAGCTCCCGTATGGAGGATGAGGGTATCGAGCCAAAGTTTGATGATATGCCGAAACTAGTAAAAGATAGCGTCAATCAATCTATGAGCAAGTTTGCCAGTATATTGAATCTCACCCCTAGAATAGAGCAGTCTGAGGGCAAAATGCAATCATTGATGACGAAAGGGCCTCAGAGAGGTGGATATCGAGAAGGCTCCATGATGTCTAGTAATGCATATAGACCTAGTGAGTGTAACAGGTTTCGTAGTACATCCTCAACAGATAAGTTACAAGATGCAAGACAAGCACGGTTGTGTTTTACACG